AAACACTGAAATTCAACAGCACCAGTAGTTGAACTTTTGCAGAGTAAAATGAGTGCCAATCCCACACAGCAGAAGAGACCTAGATAAAAAAAGAGTTAAATAAAACATGAAAGTCGGTATAAAGAAGAGGAATATCGTAGGTAACTCATGTCACCTTCAAATTTCTCTTCGCTTTCAAGCTGTAAACTTGCCTAGAAAGACTGTACTTTAATGTGCAAAAATATGCCAAAGCGTATCGTTTTTATGGGTCAATCCTAGTAGCACTTGGCGATGAGTTATGCAGTTCCAGGAGGAAACCGGTAAACGACAGTTTAGTGACAACGCTGATTTTATTTCTTTCAGTTAACTTGGATAAGGTACAACAGAGAAATTCAGATTTTGTATAATAACTCCCTTACGTGATAAGAAATATATCAAGTCACTACACCTGTCAAAAAATTCATCACACAAATGGAAAAGCTTATGAAAATAAGGGCTTCACTTTATATTGTTAACCTTCAAAATTATGGGTGTGTGTAGGTCCACGAAGGCAATTAAAAATTATTTTTGGAGCACTTATTATTACAAGTCAGCGAGTTGATATATACTACTGTAATCATGCTGTGTCACGTATATAGTCTAACGTCCAGACTTATGCAACCCACCTGCCTGGAGGCGATGTTGAAGTGCGTTAACACGTCCTGTATTTCAACGACTCTTACACAGTCAAGGCGTCACCCTAAGCTGATCACGACTGCTTCTTAAACCGCACTGAGCTTTCCCTAACAATGAAAAAGATTCCCATACCTACCTCTCACTACTGTGTATATTTCAAGAACCGACAGCTCACCTACCGAGAACTGTCAGTTAGGTTATGTATTCATTGTCTACACGATAAAAGGGTGAAAGTTCTTATTTAAATATTGTTTTGCTACGCGAACATTTTTCCTCAAATTAACGTCTCTTTTCTGTGAATATTTAACTGTCACAGTGTCGGTTGTTATGTGTGTCAAGATAATTGCAGTGTAAACAAAACCTAGCCTCTTAAATTAGGAAGCCACAGTTCTACTCTGCCATGGGCTTGTCCGCCTACAAGAGCCTGTGTTACGAGGATAAGATGGATAAACGTGTGAAGAACAGACGGAGGAGAAAGTGGAGGGAGGGGGCATAAACTTTGATTTGCGACTAAGAAGGTCCCCAGGCATTGCCCGCTCGTCCTTCTGGTAGAGATAGGTTTAGTAAAGGCAAGGCATTTGGAAGTATCACAAAGAAAAATACTTTTCACCATTACCAATATCAACTGGTTAACGCTGCTTAAGGAAATAATCGTTGCTTATTATGAGAATAATAAAAAACTCATTAATACAAAAAGCTATAAATATCGATTATTGAAGAAAGTCTTAGATTTAAACTCTTAAAACGAGAAGCTATGTTAATGAAACTTAAGAGGTCTTCACGGCCACTGTGTGAACCTCTAAATAGATACGGACGTTTCGGAGCAACAAACTGCCATCATCCCTAAAGATGGCGTTTTCCTTGCGTATCCAGTACATATATAAATTGGTTAATGTTGTTGCGTCCATGTATCTTCTTCCTGTCCCCTTGCAGTCACTAATTTCCAAGCAAATAACACGTAGTAACAGATTGTTCCTAGGGGTAGGCTATTAAATCCGTAAATAAGTCCTATAATATGATGGTTATTGGTGTAGTGTAGCTCGTGTAAATAATATGTAAGAGAATTCAGTCCGTACCTCGAAGAAAACGCAATGCTTCCAGAACTGCAAAGATCAGCTGATTTTCTTTTTAGCTAGAATAGCATTTTTAAATGTTACTTAAATCAACTTTGGGCTTCAAAAAATGCGAATAGTATCGGTCGAAGCTCCATATACTCCAAGGTCAATAAACGTTTTAGTGCATCCAACCATCTTCACTCCTCCCCCTTTCAAGTTATGTTATTCTTTCCATATTACCGACCGATTGTTCTACCACTGTATTCGCAAAGTCATGTTACACTCATTTACAATGTGTACTCCAAAGAGAACATTCCTGACATGAGCAAAAGTGCCTCTACAGACATGTAACGACGTCTATACATTTTACTGCCCGGGTGGTCGGTAGTTTAGTATCCTAGGTTACCTACTGCTAATGCCATTTCTTCTTCTTTTACTTTCGTTTAACACAATGGTCAGTACTATACATGTTGCCTAAATGACAGAGGGAGCATACTTAAGCGTAGAGCTTTAAAATTACCTCCATTATGCAGCATTTTACAATATCTAAGTCCGCTTGTTCAAACGCTGTAATTACACACAATACAATAAGTGATGATAAAATCAGTAATCACGCTGTAGATGTTATTCTGGGTTGTAACGTCGCGTGCATTTGTAATAGATACCAACGTTTCGGAGGAACATACTGCCTTCATGTTCAGGGCTGATGACCAAGACAGATGTTCCTCCGAAACGTTGCTATCTGCCTGCAACTATACACGCGTTTGAGAGAGTCGCGAACTATGTAATAAGTGGGTCTAGGCACTTAAGACAGTTTTAATTCTCGATGTCACGAATTTCGGTTCTTTAAGAACTGCGGTTTTCCTGTTTTTCTCTGTGGTACGTACGAAGGATTGACGCGTGATTCCCATATCATACACTGCAGTCTCACCGGTGTTTAACAGCGCTGTGCACCAACAGTTAAAGTTGGACTATCACGTTGTTTGAAACAGATTAATAAAGACAATATTTGGAACTAAGAGAGACGGCACAATAGGATAACGGACAAAAATATATAACGAAGACCTCCAAACACTATAAGAGTCAGCAAATAAAGGAATATAAGACTGGCGATCCATGTACGTGGTAAATGCATATAACATTTTTTTCCAACAAGAAGAAAGGAGGTAATATCTAGGAAATTTTTGATTAAAATAGGCCGAGAAAAAGTTCAGTGATAAATTTATAAATTCTTGTGAACGCGTAATGAAACACTGGTGTCTACAAAAGGCCAGAAATTTGAACAGCTAAACGACTATTACATAACCCCTCATCAGAAACCAAATAAATACTCCTATTAAATTATAACACAACGTTCAATATATTGCTATAGAAGATGCATGTCACTTCTTACTCAGCAAATTCTCTGTGAATACATCAAAAACTTCTTATCATCTTTGTATCAAAAAAAATCATGTCTGTAGAGTTGGAATTTATAGTGGAAGACACACAAGCCCACAGAAATTTTTTATCGCTGAACACAGCCAAATATGAAGTGCTGCTTGTTGCAAGTCTGTGATATTACAACATTTCTGGAATTCTTGCGACCTGACTTGGCAACGACAAATCCATGTACCTTTAGATTAGATGCAGAATGAAAGGTTAAATGTCAGCAGGTCTGTGTAGGAACGCTAGCGTAGGAATCTCTCTCGCACGGCGCAGGAGAGAGGTTGTGTCCACACCAGCGAAAGGCCCCGTTCAACGCAGTCCCTAACGTTAGCACATTGCGCCCCATACGAAAATGTACATCAGGATGAGCATGAAGGGTAAAAGTGGTTACCAGTCCCGGGTAAACGTCTATGCTACAGACTAAACTTTTATCGTGGTTTTCCTTAGTCCGTCTAGGCCACAACCGCTTCCTTCTACATCCTTCCCAATTTTACAATCTAAGATCCTAACTTTTTGAGGACAGACCGTAACCGAACCAGAAAACGATAAATCCCGAGTAATATCAAGCTTTGCCGCGACACCAAACTACCCGAAGAGCTACGAGAAGCAGTCAAACATAACTGCTTAAAGTATCTCCGAATTCATAATGTAATTTTCTGAAAATGTTTTCAATTGTGTGCTACTCGGCGTGAAAACATTATTCCGGCGATAAAATCAAAGGAATGAGACTTGCATAGCATATATCAGAAATGCGTAGTAAAATTTGGTCTGGTAGCCCTAAGAGGCCACTAGAAATAACTACTCACATATGGGAGGATAATATTAAAATGAATGTTACGAAAATAGGGTTAGGGGATGTTCGTTGGATTAATCCGGCTCGGGACACGGAACTGTGCCGGACTTTAGTAAAAACGGTAATGGACGATAGGGTTCTGTAAAGACTAGTTGAGCGTAATGTTGTCTGGTCATGTATGACTCAGATCCATGAAGATCTAACTGTAAATGGGATGACAAAGCGTGACGCGCTAAAATGGTCCGGCTTCATATCGCGTTTTACAAAATATTTCTCACGTTAACAGGACCTGAACAATTTTAACACATTCGTGGAGAATCACCACGTACCTGGGTGGTATCACTTAAATACTAATAGGTAATATTTTTCCTCAGACACTTCACCAATTCGTTCCCATTTCGTGGTACAAAACCATTTTAGCAGCGTTAGATATTAATGAAACATTATAACATTCGATGTAATCCCAAAATCAGTTATACCTTACGACAACAGATTGAAGTGTAATTAATTTTGTCACCGTGTACGTAATATATTTGCGTGATCTATATTCATTTTCCTTTCGTTATTTACCATTCTATTGAATCCGAATTCATCAGAGACAAAATATCCCTACATGTATATATAACACGTGATTTAAATGTTTAAAACGGAGACTCAAACACCGAAGATGATGCTCTGTGGGTTTCGGCTACACGTTGACTCGTCGGTAGATTTCTTGAGGGCATCTACAAACTAGTCAAAACGAAGCCAAAACCAAGCCGTGATAATCACAATCTCTGATCGATAACACCACATTACAATATTTATTTGTAATTTGTATGTCAATGAGCTTATCGGTCCTATTTTTAATAAAAGGGAAATATGTTTTAAAAGTGAGTCAGACCTACAAAACAGTGTTATTTCAGCGCCCTCGTGATAGAGGAAGCTTAAAACGACATCTGTACGCTAGCTGAATACCAAACTAGCAAACAAATGAAGTTCAAAGAACGCACCCAAGCCAGGGGAAGCTACGCCCACCCATAGGACACACACAGAATACTCACTGAATACGAAATAAGGAACATTCTTACCTTTAACTACGACAATACATCCATTGCAGAACGTCGGAATCCATGTAACGAATCGAACAGGCAAAATATATAACTTGTTGAAATCCGTGAAATATCCTTATCAGAAATAATTGATTAAATTCACTAATAAAAGATCCATAATCTATATAATTATTCTTGATGAGGATTCAAAGTGTAAGTAAAATCAAAAGCACTGACCACAAATATTTGTTCACATATGATTAATTAATACAAGTTAATTGAAGAAACACGCATATTCACTCTGAAATCACTAAGTTGAAACCACAACACGCTGCTCTACCGACTGGCCGAACTGGTACTGAACTGAAACAGGGCATCGCGTGGAAACAGTGTGGTACGCATCACACCTGGCGGCATTACTAACCAATCTCAGCTGCCCATTCTCCATCACGTGGAACATCGTCAACCAATAAGAAAGTGCGTTCAACCTCGGCAGAAGAAACAGGAATGGTAACAGTGATTTTGTTGTTGTAATATTATAAATGAAGTGTTTTATTACGGCTTATATAAAAATTTAAATGTAAGGGAGGAAGGTTAATATGAATAAAACATGCTTTAGGAATATTTTCCTCTTTCTGAATTAAAATCTTCCCTTCTTTACGACACTAAAAACAATAGCCGGTACTATCTCTGCAATTAGGAATGGAAACAATTAATATTCCTTCAGGCAAACAAAGAAACATTCTCAAGGAAACTGCACGTTTTAAAAGGAAACAGAGAAAGCCTTTCCACACGCATATGCTCACTTTTTCAGTGCCTTGGAGCACTTTAAAGTAGAATAAGGCCATGGAAATTTATCGATGGTGGTACCACACGTTCAGGCAAGGGAAATGAGACCCATGACGGTTCCCAACAATGCTGTTCTGCTGGAGGGCTGATATCTGCAATAGCGGTTCGTTGGAAATGGCGTATATCGTGTTAATAACTTCGCACAAATGTTTGCACAGTTACTCAAGAAACTCCTAATTATATAATCGCCTCCATTCTCCGTTCTCTTGCCAACACTTGCGTTCCCAAAAATCCTCACTCTATACTGTTTCTTAGATCGAGAGGCCAAGTTTCAAACCCACGTAAATCTAAGTAATCCATGGAAACAAAATACTAACCCTAAGGTCCTGTCCCATATAATTCAACAAGGGGAATTGGCTATTGTTTAGTGAATTTTAATTGGCACGTATCACGATCACGGGTTTGAATCCTAGTGCTGGACGAATTATAAGCCTGTTTACGTGCTTTTCTCAGTTGTCTTCTGTCTCCTGTCAAGGTAGGGGACCTGCGATGTGCTGATATCGCTTTCATGGAATGTAACTGAAACAATAATAGTGTAACTTAATCCATTTCTCAAGTCCGCACGGCATTACAACTCGGAAGACCGTCATAGACATCTTCACAGCGTAGAGAACCCCTCGACAAGTAACGTGGCTCTATAGTTGAATCCATTACCTTGCGTAATCACAGCATTGGGTGGTGTGAGCAAGGCGGCGTGAAGGGGGAAGAACCAACCGTGACTTATTTTAGGATAGCCTGTAATTACACTCGAGAAAAGCCATGTATCACCTGTCCACCATCCGAGGGCGTGTTGGCGCATTTTCAGAGCGTCTGCCTCACTTTTCCGTCATAGATTCTCCCTGGTACTTATCTAAGCACCACAGCACATAGGCGTATTGGGGAGTGGAGTTATAGCTCCATGCATTCTTAACCTCGGCATTAGACTGGTGTGACTGGTTAGCCTCACGCCCCCAACTTCATTACCACGAGGAAAACGTCGTGCCCAATGTCTTGACCCAAAAGTCAGTCTGGACGTTTCGTCGAAAAGAAAAATCCTGCCTGGAATAGAACCCCGGACTTCCAGCACGCAGCCCAGTCATTGTATTTGTGGTAACAACGCTGATCGGGGTTGGTCCCTTACGCTTGTGCCTACAGTTCATGAGGTCGTTCGCTTGAAAAGGGTTCAAACGCCGCTGGTAGCAGAAATGTTCGTGTGTACCGGGTTACATGATAATAGGAAGGTACTCCGGCTAACTGTTCCCCACTCTCACGTTCTTTCGTGAGAAGTCACAACGCCAAAAGAAAATAAAACACATCTCGGTGCAGATGTTGGGTGGCGGCAGTTTATTTGACGATGCAATACGAACTGCAAAGCAGACAAAGTAGATTTCCGCTGGGTCTACCACGGTCATATTAGGGAGACTATGTGTAGGCTAGAAAATACAGACTGGTATACATATTCATCACCAAACGTATCTTAATATATTATATAATATTATTTATTGACGCATTTTAAATAGATTATGTATTTTTATATTTAGTCAGAAGTTTACATTAAAATTTTACTGTTTAAAGCGTTGTTATGGATGCATTAAGCAACTTCGCGAGTCATTTTAAATAATCACTGACACCTCACATTACAAAATGTTATAATATGTTATAAAACGAACCCCTGGAGACGTGGGAAAAATAGACAAAGAATGTTTAGAACAAATAAATAAACAAACAAATGTTTTAAAGCACCCGAAACAACTTGTGAAAATTAGGATTCTTGGGTTACGATTCAGTCCAGTCTTGTACGTGGCGTACCGACATTTTGAAGGAATCTATCGCCTCCATCTTCATAAACAGACTTCTAAAATGGATATATGCGCGATGCGTTGGTCCAAACCGGGGGTAACCACTTGCAAGACTGTTTGTCGTCATTACAGGAAAAACCATTGACGTACATGCGCTGGTATCTGGCAGGATTTCTATTCATTCAAGGCTCTTTCTTCTTCGACCATGTGTACATCCACACCGTGCCCAATAACGAAAAAAGCCTGGTGTCAAGTAGCATCTTCGTAACAAAACATTAATTCCAGCAGCCACGTTTACAACTGCAAGCATTTTCAGATACGTCACGCGGTTTCTAGCCATAATCGGACAATTACCCAGGCGAAAAAGAGTGACTGAAGTGAAGTTAGGGCAGGTTGGGTGAACGTTGCGAGGTGACTGGACTAGCTTACTTCACAATTTCAGTGTTCGGATACGAGCAGGAACTTAGCAGCGTTCTGTTATTTGTGGCTTACTTATTTACAGCTCATACACGACTAATACAACGCCCCCAGCTCAATTCAAACTAACATATTTTCTAATGGAAAGGGAATCATCGTACAAAGGAACTGATGATTTGAAATACGAAACTCACTAAAATTGCAACTTTTATCTAAAATGTTTATGACATGGTTAACATTCAATGAAATGCGAGTTAAAGTAATTTATGAGTCTGTACAGTTATAATACCTCTAAACCCCTATGGTAATTATATGTACCAGATGCTTTAACAATCAACAAATTTTCATTCTGCCCACAGTGAATTTATAAATTCCGTATAATTCTCAGAACAAACAGTAATTATTTCCAAAAACAGCATTAACCAATTAATAATTGTAATAGTGAAGTGTGTTTTCTTTGCGGTACGGGCCGATTACTTAAATGTTACTTAGATGAGCTTCGACTTCCGAGGCTGAACTCTGCACCAAAACGGTTCTATCAAGATCAGCGAGGTGTGTAAAAGGACACAGAACCCATTAAAAAATATGCACACATTTCCACACTTGTTCACTTTATGGATGGAAGAACCCGAGTGAGACAAGAATGTTTCCCTGGAAACAAGAATTAAGTTGAATGGAAAAAGAACACTATTCAATAAAGCTTGTCGTTGATTGGACCACACTCGGAAATGTTTTGTTTCAAGCAGAGACCCATGTCTAAAGGAAAAGCTTCCATGACGAGACATGCCTGTCAGTAGCAGTCATTATTACCTGCTTCATTTATATAACGCTGATTTCAAACCTGATTCCCGTATGTACACCTCTTCACCGACTAGCGTTTACGGAATGAGAAACTTTAGAGCGCCTACAAGGCGTATAATTACACAATAAAGACTAACTAATATGCTACAAAAATGTTTACAAATCTCCGATTAAGAATGTGAAAGCATAAATGTATTTACTATATCGTATCTCAAGAAAGCTGGCACAGAACACAATACCATGTCATCACAATAAGTTTTAGACATTCACCCATACATGCAGACATTCCGATTTCAGTTCTATTATATCTCACCGAAAACTAAATCCAGAGTCCTTCTTGACAAACTGACAGTTGCTCAGCTATTCAATAAATTCCCCCGTATTTCATGATAACCTAATGTTCATCACTACTGGACCACTCCGGAGCCATAACAAACCAGTCCAACGCCTCCATTCCAAAACTTACTTCTCCAGCAAGTTTATAAATATTAATATAATTTAATCAACAACTCCTGGGTCTTCCGACTGACCCCTTCGCTTCAGAATTCGCAATCATAATTTTATAAGCGCATTTGTCATCTTTCGTCCATCCTGTTATCCTTGAATTGATCATCCAAAACCATATTTGGTATAATTAATAATTGCGAAACTCCTCATTATGCAGTGTTCCACGGCCTCATGTCACATGTTACGGTGATATAAAATAAAATTAAGTTCCTTAAGCAGTTCTGGGTGTAGAGACCCAAAACCAAATTTAGTCGAGATCCGTTCAGTGATTTCTCATCTGAAACAAGCATACAGGCAGACGGTTATACTTTACGATTTTGTGAACATTTTACGCGCTACATGCGAGTAACTCGAGAAAAATTAAAAAAGGCTATAGACAGAAAACATACACGTGCATGATAATGACCCAAATAAGCTCAATTCTCTTCAAGAAATAAAAAAAAATTATCAGTACACCACTTTCTTCAGTGTATTTACTATATTATTTGCATACAATATTTGAATTCTTTCTGAAATTCGAATCTAATGGATATTAGCATATCAATTTAGAAGAAAGTAGCCAAGGTACTTGAGACTATGTAGGAACTATTAGGAATTGCTTCCCATAGCTTCAGTTCCACGACCCTCAAAAAAGTATGGGAAGCGATGGTGACTTCTTACATAAAATTTATTGCACAAGGAAGCATGTGTTAGGCTCAGCACGAGGTTCAAATCTCAGACAGGCTATTTGACAGGTAAGAAAGTGAAGTTTGGAACCAAATTATACTATCAATATTTTCCAATAGCGTTTCTTGAGACTTTCAATGCTTCGTTGGTCTTTATATTCATGTGTTGTATAAATCTCAGGTTGGAAAGCTGATCAATATAGACATAAATGAATAGAAAATTTATTGTGTTTCGTTTAATATTTACCATGTATAAAAACGTTTAAAATTAATGTCTTTAATCGCAGTGAGATCCGTAAGATTATGATACGCCATGTCAGAAAATATGTCAATTCGATTTAAAGTACTCTACAACTTTTTCTATTATAACATCTTTCGGCGTAATATCATCACTTATTCTTTCATTCGATAAGACACAATCTGCTAGTGCAGTTTCGCCCTTCGAAGCTGACGAGAATAAATATTTTTTGTGTTGAACAGTAGCATTATCTTTGCAAGTCGTACTGAATATAACCTAAAAAATTTAATCACATTTCTTTATAAAGTAATTAAATGTGAAAAATATCTTCATGGTGACTGAAGTCAGAGTCACTCCAAACAAAGACTCCGCCAGAACTAATCAAAATCACCACTATATACTCATTCGCATTTCTTTGCCACCAGAGTCGCCACCGTCAGAACTTAATTCAAAACTGTTCCACATCGCACGAATGGCTCACTAGTACCGGTTCAGTGACGGACGTTGGTTTAATATTACGAGAAGATTCATAAAAGAATATTGGAAACAAACTTAAGACACAAATTTTGTTACCGTCAGAAATTCAAGCTGTCGTCTTACGTGGCGTTCAGCCAGCTGTAACCAACAAAAATATCACACTCAGTGCTCGCATGCCCTGACGCGCGGAAGCGATGCTATTTTACGGCGACAATAAGTTTGCAAAAGCCGGTCAGATAAGAGCGCTGTGCCACGTGTTAGTGTAATTAACGTCGCGTAATTTAATTATTATTACAAAGAATCACCGCGTGCTGTGAATCCAGGCATCCTGTAGCAGTACAATAACATTAGACCGCAGACCGGAAGTTCACGAAACCACAAAGACAAACACCGAGACCGGAAGGATACGGACATATGATAAGAGACAGAGAGAGAGAAAAGGGAGCATGACAAAGTGAGATTGCCAACAAGAACGCTTGGATCACAGACAGTAGAGAGACTCGGTCACTCACGGAGTGAATCTAAAGATGGCTCTCTTCTGGGTTACGACACTGTTGTCCTCGGGTTTCTTAAAGAAGCTTTTTCAACGACATAGTTTATTTAATTTAGAACTAATGATACTGAAACAATGATCCGGAATGATGAGTTAGAAAAGACGTGGCGTGACCTTCTTTGAACTCGTGACAAGGGAACACCATGTGTCGAAACTTGACGAAGCGTGACAAAGCGTGACCTGCGTTCACGGCGTGACAACGAATAGCCAAATATGTCGAATCGAGACGAAGATTAACAAAGCGTGATCAAATGTGACCAAGCTTGACAAAGCGTGACTAGGCGTGACGAGTGGTCACCATAAGTATCAAAATACGACGAAGATTTGAAAAGTGTGCCTAAGCGTGACCGAGCGTTCTCTAGCGTGACAAAGCGTGACTAGGCGTAATGTACTGTAACGGAGTGACGAGATGTGGCCAGAAATGTCGAAACGTGACGCGCTCTGTTGAAACGTTTTTTTTATTCCCCCTCGAAAAAAACACTTCGTTCGATTGGAATAGACCATATTACCTTGACTCGCGTAATTTCGCATTCAGGAACTTCGTAACAGCTGTTGTATTACGCACAGCCAAGCATACAAATGATAAAATATTTATTTATTACGAAAAAATGTATCATGCTGGATCTTGTTTTTAGAAATATCGCCCGGCAGGACAGGGCAGGGGGAGGGGGAGGGGGGAGGGGAAGTGAAAGATGGAAAACTATGCAAAACGTTTGATAAGGAACTGCGTGACGTTGGAATATAGCCTGTTAAAATCGTTACATAAGCTAATTGTCATAAAGCCACGTCAAAAAATAAGCTTGTTCATAATGCATGTATGACTATCGTTTGCAACTTCATTTGGTTTTCAGTATGATTTCAGAAGTGTAAGTTACAAATCGTGATTTTACGGTCGTATTAATTATGGAAAAACTTAAGGTAATGCATTAAGCAGAGAACATTAAAATTTGAAAATAGACTCTACAGAGAATTATAAGTATATGGATCTATGTAAATACAACTTAATTAATATTATATTAGTACTGCATTTTGTCTGACGTTGGTCTGTATTTAACACGCACATTTACACAGCCATTATTAGATGACTTCTCAGCATTATACAGTGTCCGAGAAAGAGTGCACACATTTTAAATATTTTTGTTGAGAAAATAAACAGAGCTAGCAGAGTGTACTCTGCTAGCTCATGTTGGTGTAATATGAATTCATTTATACTGTAAAGATACGTGACAACTGGTGATTCTGTATATTAATATTATCGATCGATGTTGTGCAGTGTTTGATGTAATACATTTGCCAGTATACAGGTGTCCGAGAAAGAGTGCACACATTTTAAAAAAAATTATTTACAAAATAAACAGAGCAAGGACAATACAATTCTGACCACATGAAACAGCGACTCAGAAGGTTTTTTTTACCACACAACGTTTCCTGCAAGATGGATTGGAAGAGGTTTGCCCGTTGCATGGTCTGCAAGATCGCTGGATACGGGATGGACTTTGTGCCAGTAACAAAGGTAGCTCAGTTCGAAATTCAATAAATTAAAGAAAGGTGGAAAAAAAAATGAAAACTGTACTCTCCTAGCTCTGTTTATTTACTAAATAAAAATTGTTTAAAATGTGTGCACTCTTTCTCGGACACCTGTATACTGGCAAATGTATTACATCAAACACTGCACAACATCGATCGATAATATTAATATACAGAATCACCAGTTGTCACGTATCTTTACAGTATAAATGAATTAATATTACACCAACATGACCTGGAATGAACATGTACTTCTACCTGACGCAGAAAAACAGATTTTTACGTGTTAAAGCAACAAAGTTGAGTAAAGATTTTAATGGTAAATACCACATAGTAACACGCGTGTTTTTTAAGTACTGCTGTTAATTTTACAGGTCATTCTTGAAGGTGCAATTCTCTAGTATTTTATATACACCAAAATCGGTTCTGAACCAGTAAGAATTTTCCTGATAGGGAAAATTAAAATACGTATTTTCTTATGACACATTATTATTCGAGCGAGAGGAACTTTGCAGTTTAGAGCACAGAACTCTTGATTTATATCTGGACGTAGGATCCCGAATTATAAAAAAATCTAATTGACCCATATATTTTCTTCTTAAAACTAAATCACAGTCACGTACATTTAAATAAATGGCTGCAGAAACTTGTGTAAACGCCATTCACTGAAGTGTGCAACTCATATCATATCTGAAAATTACCGTCTTCTGGGTTGCAGCGCAGTGTGGCCTGGTAGACGTTTATCGACTTTTCATAGATACCTGCTGCATTCATCGTCGAGGTGATGAGTAAGTACTTCTGAAACGACGGCGTAAACTTCTACCAGACTACACGGCGCTACAAACCAGAAGACAGAAATCTTCGTATACGTCGCCGTGGGAACCAGAAAGAAAACCCTAATTTGTACCATATTTAATTTCAGATCGTGCTCATATCTGTGATAATTGCTGTCATTCTCTGCCAAGAAGTATTGACAGGAGGTATACCGGATATTGGTTATGGGCGGAATAGCGGAGCAGGCCAGAATATCAGTCCACGAAAACGAAGCGAACAACATGAGACATATGTAACGAAGCGAAAACGAGAAGCCAACATCGGCATGACGGTGAACGGTGAAAATGAACAGCCTGCTTCTGAAGATGCTACAAGAATCATCGAAATGATCAGTACATTCATATATTCACTACCAAATGTGATTGAAGCAGTAATATCTCATAAGAACCGTCATGAAAGGAGTGAAGCGACAGATCTAGCCAAAAATGACGATTTACTTCGACGCAACACAAGTTTTCAACTACTATTTACGGCATTCGACGTGATAGAGTTTATACAAAGCAGTGTAAAGAATCTTGAACAGGCAGGGATCATAGAAACGCCGGTCATAGATGCTGCAGTTAACGTCATAAGTGACATATTAAATTTTGGTAGTAACGATGAATTTTGTGACGTAGTCTGCAATATAACAGACGTATTTGAAAGCGTATTTCATGTTATAGTAGAAAAACTTCAGGATCTTGAACAGGCAGAAATTACAGGCTTCACCGTAATTATAAACTCTCTACAAGACGGAGTTGATATCGTGATTAAGATATTAAATTCTATCAAAGACAACATTTTTCAAAATCTCATCAGTGATGTAATAAATCTTATGGTAGCCGGATACAAGAATCTTGAACGTACAGCAGTTACAGACATAACCAAAATAATATCTATTCTACAGGACGCACGTAATATCATAAATAAGAAAATAAATTCCAGCAATATCGGAGATATTTATAAATTTTCCACCGATATAATTAACGTTATACGAGGTGATTTTAAGAATTCTGAACAGGGAGGAATTATAGATCAAACAAATCTCAAAATGTTTCTACAAGATGCGGCTAATGTTGGGAGTAAGACAAACTGTGCCATTAGCAGTTACGTCGACAATCTCGCCAGAATTATAACAAACAATTTCAAACGCGCGTATATTGCTGTACCAAACGAACTAACGGATCTTATAGCAGGATGAAATCAAACCGAAATAAAGGCGACTCTACACGGCATAGTCAGTAATACAATTCTTTTTTAATTATAAAAAAATAATATAGAGACAATGGATCTCTTTAATTAAAATTCAGGATATCATCTTACTTTATAGTAGTAGAAACGCTCTGATTCGAACCAACAGGATTTGACACAAACCCGAAAAATGTCCCATCCACCGCCAAATCATCACAATTTATTTCCCCAAGTTCCAAAGAAATGTCACCACCATCTGCTTCTAGATCGTCAAAATGAACGCAGATTAGGCCTATATCAAGAGATACGCCCACAAAAGAGCTGAATTCAATCATGTATATATGACGATGTCCCTTTCTATAAACTTCATTTCTCACTTATACGTATCAAATAAAACGAAAAAGATATTTTCAGTTGCATCGTATAATTGTGTGCAACTTTTAACTCGTACACAAATGCCGAAAACAGAATAAGTCTGAGAATAAGAACAATATCTGAGGTAACTACAATTATATAAGTTGGAATGGGTAAAATTACAATGCGAGGAACTTTGTTTGATTTTGTTATAGAGTTCTTCATATACTTTAAACTCAGGATGTTATGATGATGCAGACACGTGTGATGCTCAAGAAAACGAAAAAGTCTGTAAATAAGCCGTTACTAAGGTAGCAATAAACTAAATCAGTATGGAGGTTAAAAGACAGACTTCAAGAAAGCGTATGAGTAAAGAGAGAAGTTCTTTCCAACATTTTGCTTATGTACCTTTTGACAAGACACTAAAATGTATTGGTAGTTTTAAGTCATGTAAAGATGCCTATAACTACAGTAAAATATAACGCTTCTGAATCTCATACGAGGATATTTCGCTATCAAATTGTGGTAACCTAAGCCCTGCGATGCAAACGATAAGACGTTAAGTTTTAGATACAATCACAAGCCCCTAAATCTGTACAATTTAAAAATATTTTTCAGAACTAAATTTGGAAACGAAAACATACCGAAACAATTAAAAATTTTCACACATATTAAAAGCGTTTAACAGTTGGCAAGTCCGATTTACTTGTACGTGCTCAGAATAAATAAATATTACCATACAAGTAGACCTATCTAAGCCGGAAACATTTTATCGTAAATACGTCAAAACATTACTGGGCCCACACATTTCTCATGCAGACATATGTTCGTTGTTATTCCACATTCTGAAGCTATACGTCCACGTTTACTGACTTCCTCAACAGTCCCAAAATGGACACAATCAAGGTAAGAAATTGCGTTTCTAAGGTCATATTTTCACAGTGCTCCTCAGCGAATATATTTCGAAAGTAAAATGCAATGCAACAATTCTAATTAATCCAAATATTTCGTTGGCATACTCAAAATAGTCACAGTCCACACAAATATAAACGTAGGTAATTAATAAATAAATAGATTATAAGCTAGTAAACCGCCCGCCATGAATGACGGAAAAACCCAAAGCAGTAAACACACGTAGTTATAAACATTATCCCATAAGGCCGAAAATCCTTTATAAATCAAAAATATGCAACGATTATAACAACGAACACATAAACATTATCCTGTAAATTCAAAATTTTCATGACAATGATTATATATCAAATCTAAAACTTCTTGACGATGGTGAAGAGTCAATTGAATAAAAATTTTCTTGG